AAATACTGTAAATGTAATAAGTTACCAAGCTTCAATTCTCAGCACAACAGCGCATGTATTTGCTTTAAATGTATGCATATATTTTTAAATGCTCATTGTAATACCTGAAATTATTTCAAATAATTTCATTTTTGTGTCAAGATGAATATTTAAACTTGCATTTTAATTTTCATACATAAAAACAAGCCTTTGTTTTCTGAAACTCAGACTTGTTCATCAGTTTCTAACTTGTTTAAACCAGATGTTAGTGATTGCTGGCAGCTTTTTAGAATGAAATAAACATTTCTGAGTACACCATTTGCTGCACCAAGAAACGCTGATACAGTGTGACCAACATGACCTGCGTGCTGGATTCTGGCTAACATGATCTCCCATAAGCCGTCTCAGAACACAGAAGAGGTTCCTCCCAAATATTTTCATATCACTTCAAGTAGGTGGCTCAAATTTCTTAGCAAAGAGATTCATAGGCATAAAGACTAAGAAGATTAAAATGTGAATAGGATTTGTGAAAAATATCACTTATGTGCTCAGTGTTAAAAACTGAGAAAACCTTAACTGAAACTTAATACTAAATATTGTTTCCATTATACTGCAAGAAAAAAACAGGGAGATCAGCGTATACATAGTAGAATTGCCTTGTTTTATAAATTAGTATTTGAGCTCTAACACAGGTCAGGTCTTTAAATTTACTTTTCAGTGTGGCCTGATGTCTAGTCTTACGCTCAAGGAAGTTACATTTTTGTTCAGTTTCCAGCTACAGTTCTGTCCACTGCTGTAACACGTCTTGAGATATCCAGGAGTTTGTAAGCCCTGTTGATGACGAGTGATGTCATGTCATTTGCCAAACCGCTTTATACCATACGATGTCGCAGGAAGCTGGAGCCTACCTGGCAAGCAATGAGTGCAAGGCAGGGTACACCCCTGGACAATCATACATGGGGACAATTTGGAGGCCACGGTAAAGGCCAAGAGGGGAAATTTGGCCGGACTCCGGGATAACTCCCTATTCTTGTCGAGAAATGCCAGGGGATCTTTAATGACCACTGAATCAGAACCTCGGTTTAACATCTCACCCAAAAGACATTGCCCACTACAATATAGTGTCCCCACCGTTATACCAGGGCATTAGGACCCACACAGGCCACAGGGTGGGCACCCCCCACTGGTCCTACTAACACCTCTTCCAGCAGCAACCATAGCTTCCCAGGAAGTCTCCCACCCAGGTACTGACCAGGCTCAATCCTGCTTAGCTTTAGTGGGTAGCCATTTGAAAGCTGCAGGGTGATATGGCTGCTTGCTTCATAATAAGTGTGTTGTATTTTTTGTTCAGATTAGAAGCACAATCGCTATAGAAGACCTCAATAAAAAAAAGGGTTAGAGTTAATACACTACCTTATATTACAAGTGAATCCTGGAAACATGTCAAGTGAGCACAGAACCGGAACAGGATTGGAAAATTGTAGTTATATCTGTGGAGGTAATGTGCTTCAGTAAAGATGAAAGAGAAAAAGGGGAAAACTTTAATCTAGAACAACAGTTCTTTGTTTGACATAGTCTCTGACTGTGAGCAGTGTGGTTAATGCACACATTTTCATAGATAGTTTTTGTTTAAG